AAACCAGTCTGTCTTATCAAGGAAGAACCCTGGAGAATCAAACCTGTCAGCCCTCAGCCTGCCGCCAGCCTCTGGACCCTCCAGGTTTCCCCCTCAGTTGCTCTGCTCAAACCTCAGAACAGGTACAAACCTGCGCTCACTCAACCAGCAAGATTACCAGGACTTCTGCTAACCATTCTGTCCCCCTGTGCAGTGAAAACCTGTCGTGACCAGTCCTGGATCAGATTTTCCCAGAACCTGTTCAGTGTTTAACCTGTGTGTTTCATAATAAACCTTTGCACTTTTTCCCCTGTCTCAGAGTGTGTTCTGCATGTGGGCTAGTAACTTAATACCCATCATGACAAATTTTAGATGGGGGGGCTTCCTGAAATTAGTTTTTGGAACTTAGGATGTCTGTAATAATTATATAATGGAGCTATAAAAAAGACCTACCAAAGTTAAAGTACAAAATTTTGCAATTGTAAAATTCAAAAAAAAAAAATAAAATAAAGAAATCACAAAATAAAGGTACTTAATTACAGTAATGTGAGGAAATTTCACCCCTTTTGTAAAGCAAAGTATTGCATTCAACCCACCTACAAGAAGAACTTTACAGAACATATCAGTAAATCTGAGAAGGAGGAATCAACAACCTTAACCTGAAGAGGCAATTGCAGAAAATATGAGATGGAGGAAGAAACGGAAGATTGTTTTATTTCATCAAAAGACAGCAGGAGGAACTGAGAACTGGAGGGAGGAGCAGAAAGGAGGAAGAATTCATGAAAAGAATGAGATTAATTAGAAATGTTCTGATTTTTAGTAAAAAAAAATTGACAATACTGTTACTTAGAGATAAAATAGAGGAACCGTCCCATGATAGAAACAATATTTAGTGCAGCAGTTTTCAAGGTGTCTAATATATCTACATTATGTAAAAAAAAATTAAATCAGCACTCCAGAAAAATTTCACCTAATTAACAAAGGCAATCATTGTGTCTCCTTGAGGATAAATGTGTCCATTAAATAACCAGAATGTTGGTCATTGTCCTTAAGAATATGTTTAGTAACCGTCAGAGATTAACCCACTTCCTGTAAATGAGGACAGGATGGGCTGAGTGCTTCCTCTTTCTCATCTTACACAGAAGCAGGTATAGAAGAGGAAAACAAAGCTCAGGATATCTTTGTTTTGGAAGATCAGGTGGATTAAACTGCTTTTTGACAGATATTCAAGGTAAATTCAAATTTGAATCTAGCTTTACTGTTATTTAGTGAGTTTTTCTATCTGTGAGGAGAAAGAAACATGAACTCTGATTGGTTCTCTGCTCACACAGAGGGTTAATTCAGCTTGGTGTCTCCAGCTCTTTTTAGTTTCAGCAGCAATAAATGTGTTGATTAATTGTGGTTCTATAGAATCTCTGATCTGTTAAAACAGAGGTTGCTGTGGTGGTTTGTGTTCAGATTTTTGCTCAAACTGGGAACTTTTTGTTATCTGTAAACTGCTTCATAACAAATGAAAAGCAGGAGGGAGCAGCAATTTGCATGATCTTAATGCTTGGCTGCCAAATGCACCAATTAATTGAGAATGCATGAATGTTTTTGTAAAAAAATAAATAAAATAAAAAATTCTGCCAATATCAACCCAAAATATAGGTCAGCCAATGTATAGGTCTATATTTCACCAGGACCTGAGCTGCTCTGGAACTAGGAACTTACCATACTAAAATCTTAATGGCAACATGAAGTTGGCTAAAATAGCTTACACTGTGGCACATCAGGCCCTGATCTAAAGAGACCTAAGAACGGGTGGGAAACAAAGGTTTTATTTCAGAAGTTTTAGTTTTTATTCTAAATTAATGGGAATAAAGAAAAGCATATTTTTTAAAGAAAGCCTTAAACATGATTAATTCATATTAATTTTATCCTTTTCAGGGAAAAGATGGAGAAACTTTCAGAGGAGGGGCAGCAAGAAGTCCAGCAGAATTGGGGTAAGTGATCAGAGCTGAAACAGTTCTAATTATACTGTTCTTACCTGAAATTAGGTTTTATCAGGTTATTGACATGCAATGAGATTGATTTAGTAGCTGATATTGAACAAACCATGACTTTATTTACCTGTAAGTCATTATTTACTCAGGCTGTTTGGGGCAACGGGTTTATGTGCTCTTTATCTCTCCCTTCAGCTTAAATAAATCCTTTCTCTGATTTCTGCATGCAGTGAAAAAGCTGTTTGATGTTCGCCCTGAGCTTGTGAAGAGGGTTTCTTTAGAAGTCCTCATTCAGCTCCTTGATGGCCTTCGAACAGATTGTGTTTTTAATACTTTGGAGAAACAGGGAATACTTGAAGAGAACGCAGCCACAGCAAACAAGGCCCGCTGCATTATAGATGATGTGATAAAGAAAGGAGAGGAGGCCTGCAGAAAGATGATCCAACGTCTTCAGCTCATAGATCCTACACTATCATATCAGCTGGGTTTGTCCTCTTATTCTTCTGTTCAGCCACGTGAGTCCAAACAAATTCCATTTTGCTGTTTTCTTAGCAGAGCCTAATGTCTTTTTTCCCAATTCTAAATGCAGATTGAATCTGTCTGGTCAAATTTCACGAGATCAACTAACACCTGTATTTATTTTAAGAAAAAAGTTAAAAATTCTGAGATATATATTCTGTTTTGTGTAATGGATAAGGGCTAGGCAATCTGACTGAAGCTACCAAAGCAGTATCAGAGAAATGTTCTTTAAGGAGCCTAAAATGTTAATGAAAACAAGAGGTAGTAATTTCAAGTTATGTGGATGTAGTTCTGTGCAATTTCAGAAAAACAAAACAGCAAAAAGTAAGAACAAATGGATTGAGTCAAAATGCTGGTTACATTTGTAAAATAAAATTACTTACATTTTTGCAGGTTGTGACGGACAAACAATGAAGAGTTACTTCAAACAGAAATTAATCCCTAAAAATGAACTCCCAATAGCAAGAACATGCATATTCCAGTCATTAGTTTGGTTTCAGGAAGCGCCACAGTGCAGTCACAGCAAATACAAAATGTTGTAAATAACATGATTGAAGTCTTAGATGATAATCATTACTGTGCAGCAAATTTTATTAACCTAAGGCATCTGATTATGGAGGACCAGCTTTACCATATTTAAAATAAATATAGAAATAAATAAATGCTCAATAAATAAATAAGCATACAATTAATTGCCCCCAAAAATCCAATAAACAAATAAATGTAGGTAGAAATTTAATTATACAGTGAGACATAAAAGTATATATCTCTTTCAATTAGCTTCTTTATTTATTTGCTTTTGTAGTAATTACCTTATTTATTTATTGTCAATTAGAATCTTCAACTTTATTTATTAATTACTAATTTTTTAAGTATTTATGTGCATGTTATATTTTTGTCTGTTTTATTCTTCATTTGAGGTTTTTTTACCCTATTTATTTATTCAATACTATTTATTTCTGCCTGTCGTTTTTACGTTTCTGCTGACATTTCTGCCTCATTATGCAAATGAGGAGGATTGTGTCTTAGAGGCTCAATTTCTGCCCATTGGTTGGTTAGCATTTTACTGCATCGGTCGAATCTACAGGAGGAAAGGAGAGTCTGAAATCACTGGCCGTTTCTCAATTTATAAGAATGTGAGTACGGTCTTGTGTCCTTGCCAAGTATGTTCTTGAACAGAACACAGGAAAGTACGGACTTTCCGAGGAAATGTAGAAACAACAGGCAGAAAAAAATTAAGTTCAATTCAATTCAGTTCATACATATAATGCAACACATGTCATTTCCACACACTTTACAGTTCACCAGATCATACAGTCAAATTGATTCAAAGTTTTCTATCTAAGAAAACCAGCTGATTGCGTCGGCTCATTGACTCTTCAGCGATCCCACACATTAAGCATGCTTGCAGCGACAGTGGAGAGGAAAAACTCCCTTATAACAGGAAGAAATCTCCAGCAGAACCAGGCTCAGTGTGAGCGGCCATGTGCCGAGGCTGCCTGGGGTTCAAGGAGACAGAAGCAGAGATACAAAAAGCAGCCATAAAAGGCGGCCCCATCCAGGAAACACACAGCCAGGCAGACGAGCTCTGAGCCAGCTCCCATGTCAGTGGATGAAGAGAGCACATCCATTTAGTCACAGTCAGAGAAACAGGACTACACTGAAAAACAGGCCGATCTCCAACCTCTATAAACAAAGTTGTTCATGGCAGCAGCGCAGCTGATATTTCTCTCCAGGATGATCAGTTCTGGTCGCTCAGACCTTGCGGACGTGTCAAGCATAAATCGAGCTTTAGGTGGTTATTAAAACTGGGGCACAACCCACCACCAGCATGGGAAGACCCACTCTGGTGATGATCTCATCCCCAAGATCCTATGTGTGTGGTAGTGTGACAGAGCAGGTTAAGGGACGCATCAGAGATGGGTAGCAAAGAACGGAGGAACAGGGTTCTCCAAGGAGCCAGCTCCCCTTCCAACCCTGATAGGCACCCTTAGGACAGGGACAGGGCACAGAGGTCATAGAACCGTCCAACCCAGAGGCAGCAATAGGGGTCCAGAGCCGGTCCTTGAGCTGCACCATCCCGAGCAAAGTTTAATGCCAGGCCACCACCACCCCCCACCACATGGGGAGGTCTAACCACCCCTGCATTCAGCCAGCTTTCAGAACACAAAAAACCAGCACACACAGGATGCATGACCCCCTGATGAGGGATTCTAACTCCTTAGCTGCATTGAACCGGCAATTTACCACTTATTAAATCAAGATCCTTGCTATCTTTGGCTATATCCTCAGAGGGGAATGCCTTCAGCACTTCCACTTTGTTGGAAGCATTTTCTGTGTTCTCTGCAGGACATCAATGGCCTCAATAGTAGCTTCGAAAGACTTAAATGTGTGGTATACACTAAGGTCTTGCTCTATGAAGTTTCATGCATCAGTTCCATATCTGCTTTCAGTCTCTTTTGCTGCCATTCTCAGCCCATAGATGGGCTCTTGGGAAGGGACTGTTTCTGAAGACATGCTCCCTCATGCAATAGTCTACTATGTCTTTGGTAAGACCCATCTTAAAAGAATCCCAACATTATTCTAAAAAAAAGATTATGTCTTCAACAGAATGAGCAAGCTTGTTGTCTTTTATTGGTGCAAAAAAATACAGTCTCTCTCTAAATTCTCAGCTGTGGCTTTTTAATAAGAGGGAACAGATGACAGCTGATTGTAAATGGCTTTGGCCTGTACCAAAGTAAAGTCATCTTTACAGGGAACTGGGCGCTACAGGGAGGGAGATAACTTAGGTGACCATTGTTTATACATGAGTTTTCAAGGTCTTCACTTCACTTAGCTCATTTAATTCAATTAAATCCTGTTTGTGTTCAACAGAATTGTGTTCAATTGTTTATATTCAACAACTAGCTCTAGGTAGAGCTTCTGTACAAAGGGGTCATTGTGTCTGCCGATAATTTTTTCCTTACTTTTTGAGCTCTTGAAAATGTTTTGCCCTATCAGCAACAATATAACAATATATCTGCACTTGGATTAAAGGGTGGTATTTCAGCAGCTCTGTGTTGTCAACACTGCTGACAACACAGCACATTTCACCATTTACCATGACAATGGTGAAAGGTAGCTTCCGCAGTGGGTACTTTTATTTTTTTCCAGCTTTTATTTCATTACACTGGTACAAGTAAAGAGCAGCAAAATGAACTCTCTCTATTTAACCCATCCCCTTGGGGAGCAGTGGGCTGCCATTGTACGTTACCCGGGTAGCAGTGTGGGGTTGAGGGTCTTTGCTCAGGGACCCAGAGTGGTAGTCTGTGCGAATGGGTTTCAAACTCAAGACCTCAGGACTCAAAGCTCTAAGCCCTAACCATTCGGCTGCCATTCCCAACAGGGAGGTATATCTTCCCTGTTGTCAGGATTGGGCGAAAGAAGGTTTTGAAAACTAATTTTCCATCTAATGACTTGACAACTGCTCTTCTGCCAGTCACTTGTGTTATACCACTACAGGTTTTCAGAATTTCAGGTATGTCAAAAAATGTATCATGCTAGAGAATGGTTACTTTGATAACCACTTATGGCATAACTGCTTCTGATGGTGTCCCCCTGATCTTTCGGATATACGTAAACCAGCCAAATCTTTGAATAGGATTTCCCTGTGATTTCGTTCACATACCTCTGTTCACATGGCATCAACATCTGAACCCTGTGTATTTGATTACTCCTCACCTTTCTCTCTTAGACACAAGACAGGGTTTAAACACCTATGGTGCTGGGCCAGTGTGAAGAGCTGCCATGTTGCTGGCTGTCACAATCTTCACATGCATTTTGCATATTGCTGTTGCCGTTGGAAACAAAGAGTATAAACCACATTAAACATTTATCTCTATAATAAACTGCATAAATATTTATGGTATTACTTGTATTAACACTAGATGATGCCTACAGATAGAACAATGTAAACAGCAGTAGTAGAACTACAACGTGTTTATGGTCGATGTGAATGATCTGATTATCAGACTATTAAATGTGGGAATCCATAGTGCTAGCAGAAAAAGATGGCCCCAACATTAAGAGCTTTTCTAGTGCATTTTTCTTTTTCTTTTTACAACCCTACACACTCTGTGCATGATAACCCTAGTTAGAGTCAGGAAATATCTCTTATGTTTGACACCTGTATATAAAAAACAATATTTCTTCCGTAGAAATAGAAAGACCCCCAAGAGAATGACAGAAATTGTTTTAATTATTTTTGTCTTTCTGAAATGCCCCTTTTTTCCTCATTCAGATGTCAATGATCAATGTCACCATGACCTTAAAGTGTCTCTGAAGTCAAAGTTTGAATGTGTCTATGAAGGCATTGCTAAAGCTGGAGAGAAAACCTTTATGGATAAAATCTACACAGAGCTCTACATCACAAAGGGAAAGACTACAAACGTCAATGATGAACATGAGGTCAG